ACTGTATAAGTGAGAAAAAGTGGTTATTTTAGGCTATATTTCAGTGTCAATGTATTCTCGTGGTTTTAATGAACAAAGTAATGCCTCAAGCCTACCTGAGAAGAAAAAATAGTTGATCAGTCGTTCCCAAAATCTACGAAAAACGTGATAATATATTTATTTTTGGCCTAACTTATTATTTTCTGTATTCCTTCGAATTTTGAGGAAGTACCTTTATAAAACGTTTCTTTATCTTTCCCCTTCAAATAGTGATGTTGCGGTGTATTTAAGAGTTAATGTGGTCTGCAATGAAGGTGCTTGTGGAAATACAATTCCATAATTATATGCTTATGGTAGTAGTGACGTGGCGAACTCAGACCGAAGGGTCGCCGGTTCGAATACAGGTTCGTGCATGATTGTGTGTTTTGTTATTGTATGTGTTGCTTATGTGTAATGTGGTTGTGTTGTGTCTTTCTTGTGAAGAAGGGGCATCCGTGCGTAGAATCATCTGCAAACTATTAGAAAAATGGAGTACTTATGCAGAAAATTAAATAAATTAGCCCACCATCTGGAAACGGGGAAACGCAAAGATGAAAAAGAATTGCTTATTTCTCCGGCACTTAAATGCTCGTGAATTTGCAAATTACCACTTGCGTACTTACAGGAGTCACAGAAATGACTAATTTGGTGAAAGAAGTCGATGGAAATAAAAGCAGGTTGATTCACGTGCGGATCGTGGTCTTGTGATTCTCAGGCATTTGCCTTAACACAATCGGAGGAAATTGTAGAAAATACCGATTTGTGCAATAGGACTATAAAATCCCTACCCAGTCCACGACCAGAACCAGACATTTAGCTTGTGCCGAAAATCCGGCCCCGTCACATCCCAAACCTAGAACTACCCTGCATACGAAGCCACGTTACAAAATAGCTATTGCATACCGGCGAGAAATAGGAATGACTATTCCAATCATGAAATTAACACAAGTAGAAAGTGGCTGGTTTGTGTTAGCGTATCAAAAAAACTGAATTTTTCTCGTCCCTTTTTTACCATCTCCTCAGTACTGACCAATCATCAGTTACAATACATCAATCATGAATATAGTATCCATTTTTGTCGAAGTGCAAACACCTGCTGTACAATACAGTTAGGAACAGCTGAAAGTCGTGTTTTATTTAACAAGATTTCAAAAGACATTGGATAGAGACCATTAATATAACTGTGGAGCAATAGTTGAAAATACATTCACTTCACACGAACTTAGTCCAAGAAGATGGGTTTTCACTTCACTAAGGACATTCCGCGTTCAGGAACGCCTAGTGGAATGACCCTACTATGCAAACATCGAGTTTTTGAGTTCACATCCTGCAGTAAACTCGTACGGGATGAATCCAATTTCCTCCGTTGCTCCACAATTAATATTAAAGTTTAATGCAGCGATTGATATCTGACGAAACGCGACGGATCGGTGCGTTCCGGTACTTCGGAACTAATTGTTAAATTGTATTATGATTATATAACTATTTCTATTGAACTAATGATTAATTTTAGGGCGCGTTGCTGGACCTAAAATTGTGTAAATCCAGCACTGGTCTTATGAAATCCCATTCGCATATTGTAAATTTACAGATACATTTTGCTCTGCACTGCATGACTAGTGAAATTAACACACGCGTATTAAATATGGAAATGCGTGTTTTTTTGTACGAATCATTCACAAACTTTTATTTTACAAGAAATAGTTTATAAAATGGCATCTTATGGCACAGATCATGACAAATTTGTCGTTTATGACACGCATAATTGAATTATCACACATTCAGCCAATCGAAGCGAGAGAATCGTTGAGGGGGATGGGGTAACGGTAATCCGAACAGCCGAATACCGTTTTTTTCGCACAAATGTCAAGTACAAGAAAGTTACTTCCAAATATTAACTTTTATTCGTTCGTTTTCAAAACATGCACTCATGCAATAAATCATATCATAATCAACTAGTTGAATGTAGATAGTACTATGAATGATGGAAAGCCGCGGGCTGCTCTAGGTTGAATGATTGGTGATACCGGACGCCGGTGAGGTCGTTAGTCCCGTAAGTGTAATGCATGTTCTTCCTCGCGTTGTCTACCTTCCTGTCGGCTAGCAGGGTTTTCCCCAACCAGCTACCTCCCACCAGAAGCGGGGCACCGCCCCAGTCGGGTCAAGCTCTATGCTCCCGACCAGTCTTCTGGCATGTGAGGGTGTGTAGTGCATTTAAGTGTATTTATAAGTAAGGAGTGAGAATAGGACAAGGAAGAGGAAGAAAAGATCGCGCGCTGTCCGGGTTCGCGTTTCTTACGGAACTGCTCCGACATTCACCTGGTATTTATCGGAGACACAACGGAAAACTATCGATTACAGCAGCTGGCCGCTAGAAATCTTCTCCATGCAGCGTCTGAAACATGCAATGAAAACATAACATAATACAAGTAAAGTAGACACAAAATACAGTACTAACGATTGAAAGGAGCGGGCCGCGCTGCAGCAAGGAGCAGACTGCTCTAGGAGCGGCGGTGGCAGGGAGGGGGGGGGCGCCCTTGAACCGCGCGCCGTCGCCGCGGGGCGTATTTCGGGCGCTTCCTCTGCGAGCCAAATCCGGCGGCGGCGGCGGCGAGGGTGGTGGCGGCAGCAGCAGTGGTGAGGGCGGAGGTGATGGCGGCGGCGGCGGTAGTGGTGAAGGCGGCGGTGGCGGTGGCAGCGGCAGCGGCTATGAGGGCGGCGAAGACGGCGAGGACGGCGAGGGCGGCGGGCGAGGAGCGTAAAAGCGGCCGCGCGACAGGATGTGGAGCGACGCACCTGGTCCCTCATTAGGCGCTTCCGCGTGCGCGACCCCCCCTTGCCCCCACCCCTACCCCACCCCACCCCCTGCCAGCGAGTAGTTTTTGGGCAAACGGCTAAAGCATATGGGTAAATGAAAACACGTGTGGAATGTGCCGCATAATGACTGGCAATTCGAAAAATGTGTGCGTGGTAATGTAGCTGTTTTGCTTTAGCTTAGCAAAACAATCGCCAGTTTCAATTGCCGGTTGGTCTCGCTTCGTTTGTGCTTCGCAAGTCGTCGGAGATGCTCCGGCGTTCGGCCCTCGCGATTATCGTAAACATCCCTAAAACCGGCAACACAAAAAATATCATTTTATTTATTCAACTCATTTTACTCCCGCCCGCAGAAAAATGTTCTTTGCTCTTTGTGATAGATTCTGATGAGCGCTGATTTAAGGTAACCATGGTGCATTAGGTTACTTTGCATGCCACAGTCTTAACATGTCGGTGTTAAGATTTTCCACCCTTAGATATCCACTCACTGCAGCCGAGTTTGAACCTGGTTGTGGTGTTCCGGAGCTAAGTTCCTGAACTCCTGGGACGGGTTGTATTCAAGTTTTCAGGTCAATGGTTCAGTTCTGGACCGCTCCTGACAATGTAATCAAATCTTCTGAATTACTGCTATGACTATATCATTCCCCTAATTCTCAAATCTGCCCAGTATATTCATCAAACCATAAAATCAAAATTAAACCATTAGGAGTTACTGCAACAAAAATATTTGTTTTAAATCATTAGTAAAATAATCGCTATTTCAAAGCAATGCCCAACTGCTGAAACATAGGACGACAGTGTGTCGAACGATTGGAAACAAAACTTTTCTACGATCGTATAAATATGAAAAATGTTCTTTACGGCGACACTTGCGTGAAATTAATCTTTTCTGAAGACGTCTGATGATATGTAATGCCACCAAGAAAAAATTTGTTTCGCACTGTGATGGTGAGCTAGATGATGCATTGTCCCGACAACCATGAAGAGTAAAAATGAATCAATGATTCTGTTAGGAGAAATGTAATATGATTATGGAAAACGGCAAAACAATCTCAATCTCGGTGGTACAAAAATAACAATAATTTCATACGTTATAAAAATAAATATTTTAACAAGTCTCAAGGTCCTGGTCGTGCTCTGCGGCCCAAGGCAGATGTTTCTTTACAGCTGTTCCGACCGGTAATTTTCTTTGGTTTCTTCGATCAACACCAAAAGAATACTGCAGTACCCTAACAAACAGGTACTGACCGCGCGCGATCTTTCCTACACCTTCCTTGTCCTAACCTCACCCCTTATTTATACACACACACACACACACACACACACACACACACACACACATGCTATACATTTCCACACTTGGGAGATCAGAAGGGAAATTAGAGGTTTTCATGCTGGGACGGTCCCCCTGCTGGGAGATACCTGGTTTGGAGAAGATCCTTCGCAAGCCAACGGGTAGGTCGACGCCGGATTTCGACATCTAGCGGGGGACAATTACCACCACCTCTCGCATGTAAAACATACCCACTCACGGAACTAATGACTTTAACCGTTGACGCACCTGGCTTCACTATTGAATGGAATGGAATGGCATGGCATGGCCTTATTTTGCCTTGGCCTTTGCCTTATTTTATGCCTTATTTTACGTGGCGAGACTCGGGCCGTCAGTCCTGCTCTTCAATCTGATCGCGCAAATTTCGCTACTCTCCTTTCACCAACTAGCGGAGAAAGGAGGTATTTCTTGGGCGACGAAACGGTCGTTTTAAATTTAGCTCAGAGGAGTCATTTGGGCTTGAGGATCTTTTACATGCAAGTAAATCTACAAACATGGGACAGCCGGCTTTACTTCCCCTCCGAAGGAAGGCGTATGAAGGATTTTTTCGTTCTTAAATATCCACGGCTTCGATCGGGTTTGAACCCGCCAACTTGGGTACAACAGTCCGATACGCTAACCACCATCTCCGCCACTATTCAATCAATCCAACAAGTGTCGTGGTCCGGGACGCGCCCTGCGGCCGAAGGGAGACGCGAGGAAGTGGCACTTGTAACCACCGGTGGCCTTCGCCTCCCGAGGCCATTTTGCCGCGTCGCGTCGCGTCGTGGCTGATGATAAGATGGCTGCGCCGTGATTGATGTCGCACGGCCGCCACTTCGTTCGCCCTAACAAGATGGTTTTCTATCAACTCCATTCGCCGGGCGACGTCCTGCCACGGCGACGCCGACGCCAACGGCCACGACGCTTGTTAGTCGCGCCCGGAGACGCAGCCTCAGCCTCCGCCGAGCCTTCAGGCGACAGGAAACGGCTGACAGAGAGAGAACGGCCCAGCACATACGCACTGTTGACTTGGAGGATCACCAGGGCTATTTTGAACTCGGATTTGTAAATATTTACAACGCATATTTATAAATAGTATCTTCCAACATTTTTTTAAATTATAAAACTGCACACAAATTGAATTGTCGGTCATGGTGAAGTGGTCAGACTGCTTACCTTATACCACTAGGTACCTGGTGTCAAACCCTCGTCGGTGTCTGTCCTTGGAGAGCTGTAGTGAACAAACTAGGTTCGTGGCTAAGTTTTTTCGGTACTCTCCATTTTTCCCTGCCATCCATTGTAGCAAAACTAAGCCCATTATCATCTCAGTATCAACACTATCATTATTTTCTATTACAAATACCTTACGAGGGAAACTCGACAACATGTTCGAAACTACGACCGTTGTGTTGCCTCTCGTAAAATTAAAGCCTGTCTAGAGAATAAATAATATTTGTTTAAATGATTTGTTAACAAGGCTGTCTCGAACCAAAGTAGTTAATGCATGTTCCGACTTATCACCTCCATCGGACACAAAGGGTTGTGGGTTCGAATCCTTCCCCTGAGCATGTCCGTTAGTCCCTTGTCAATTTTGTATTGCCTCACCGCAGGACTCGCCTTCTCCTGGCAGTTCCACTTTCCGTTTGGTTATTTCATATTTTTTTATAATAATTTGACGTCGAGCAACTACTACCTCTTCACACAGGGTTGCCTGGTTCCGCCTTCACGTCCGCAATGAATTCGATGCTATTAAAGGTTATTACATTCTCTGGCGGGACGTTTCTTTGCGTAAGGAAATTCAAAACTTGCAAATCTTTGTGAGACATGTCAATAGGAATGTCAATACTGTAGGAAGTAAATATAAAATTGTTGTGTTTAATTATTATACAAAAGTGGTTGATAAATAAACGGAAATGGCTTACCTAATTGATCGTATAACGCTAATTTATCAGCTGTCAACCAGAATCGGAATGCATTAATGGGAACGGGTAATAAGTGAAAATTCATACGAAGTCATTTCAAACACTTCTTCTCAAAAATACAATAATGTTTACAAATTGCTGGAGATGTACATGTTAACGGCGTGAGAGATCTTTAAAAGAATTACATTTATGTAATTATTGAAAAAAACAAAAAGTACCCGAAATGAACATTATATCGTAATAAAGAGCGCAAACCATTTTCCCTTCGAAAAGTTTGAAAAAAAAATTGTAGCCGTTTTTTGCAAAATGCTGTTTGAGCGTTTCTGAAAACGCGGAGCTCACTTTCAGCTCATTTTCACTAAAAACAGTTGAATATAGAGAAAATTTATGACATTTAAGTAACATGTACTCAAATATAGTAATGTGAGCACATCGCCGCTAATGTAAATGTTAACAACGTGAGAAATAAGTAAAAAAATTACATCTTTGTAATTATTGAAAAAATAAGAATGCAGCAAATTGTTGTCATCTTATAGTTTGCATTTAGCACTATACCTACCAAAACATTAAAGAAAAAAATTTTGAGCCTTTTTTAGAAAATCTTGTTTTGTAATTGTATTAAATTGTACAAAGTGCACGCAATATTGCGCGAAAACTACTATTTTTTTCAGAAAAATGTGCATGACCTTAACGAAAGAACCAATTATGGACAGCAAATTTCATTTGAAAGAATAATCTCTATCTTTAGCTTTGTAGTTGTAGGAAGACACCGCAAAAATTCATACTTTTGAAATTTTCGAAAATCCATAATTAACCGAAAAAAATCGAAAATTGATAATTAATCGAACCTATGCCACTTCTATAAGTGTATGTTACTCTAATCTTACAAGAAATAAAGAAAAAAATTGGAGTTGTTTTTTGAGAAAATTTTGGAAATGTCCGGAACTTCATGCAAAGCATCCCCCAAATTTCAAAGAATGTTTTCCAAAATCTCATAGATCCGACTCGAGCCAGATACACGGGTTTCTTCGATTTGGAAAAAATACTACTCATGGTTTAGGCGCTATTAATGTTCGCAAACGGACGTTTTGAAGAGAACCACGGTATCAGGGGACCCCAAAACGTGTATTTCCGATGAAAACTCGAAAATCACTTTTCCGCAGCATTACATAACTCTCCATATACTACGTATATTACTCCGTATCGGGGGAAGTAAAAACCAATAGACATTTCAGAATGTAGAGAGATAATTTCAATGTTTTCAGTGAGTACGGTCGTCTTAGTGTGTATATGAGTTAGTGTAAGTAAATACGTGTAAGTGTGTATCCGTATGTAAGTATTTTCTTCGTTGCGAATGATCTACTGTGTCCTCTTTTGTTTTAAAAGAAGGGGGTTCAATTAATTTATTATACTCGCACCTAATCTTGGGAAAACATTGCATTAATTTTAATATTTAAACATTCTCATATGAGACCTATAATCAAATACAACTAATTTATAAGAATATTATGTAATTATTAATATAAGAGAAATAATTCTTCACAAAATAGTGTTGATTTTCCAATAATTAACCCTTTTTTGCAAATCAGTACCGACTTCGACCTTGCAGCCCGAACATGTCATCACGTACCCAGTTGCCTTTTCGAGAAAACGCAACGTGCGTGGGTGACATTTCTGACGATGCACTTTCGCTCCATTGTAGTGTTGTTTGTTTTGTCTTCTTACGGGTTTTCGTCGCCGTTTCGCGCCATAGCTGCGGAGGAAGCGACGCGTTTGGCGCAACTGTCCTGGGACTACAGCGCACGCGCCCTGTCTAGCTTCGCCACCGCAGCCGAGCGAGTGGGTGGGCTGGCAGGGCGAATCGTACGCAGATCAGGATCGCAATGCACACACGAGGAACAAAGCAATGTATAGGGAGTGGGGCGGGTCCCGTAGCGTAGTGGTTACGGCGGCAGCCACGAGCTGAAAGGTCTGCGGGTTCGAGATTTCGAATTCCGTCTTGGGCTTGCATGTTTGCTTCAGTATTGTGACTCGGTGGGGCTTTTCCTAACTGCCATAAAGTACCTTCAGTAACCCATTTCTTCCCAGATATCTCTCCCCATTTCTCTCTGTCTCTCGCTGTTTTTCTGTCACTCTCTCTGTCTCCCTGTC